AGAGAATATATCATTAAACTGAACATTTCTTAATTCTTAAAAAGAGAGAAGGGCATGGCAGCACCAATGATGAAGTTTAAGGAAAAGAAAAAATAACATCTAGGAAGAGCCAAGTACCAACATGCCATATGTATGTGATGAATGCATGAAGCAAAGAAGTAACCAGAGCAGGTGGTTATGGGGAAATCTTCCTGGAAAATGTGCCTTTAGGCATAGTGCTTTATCTCTCACCACCCCAACACTTCTTCTGTTCATCCCACAAAATACTGCCATCACATAAACTAATAATGCTTAAGGATAACACTAATTATATTTGGAACATTCAAAATGCAGTGACAAAATACAATTCTAAATAAATTACACACATTATTTAATTTACCCTCCACAAAACTCTTCTGAGATAAGGATTATTATCATCCTATTTCACAGATGGGGAAACTGAGGCTTAGATTAACTTGTCCCAAATGACATAGCTAGAATGTGGCAAAACAAGATTGATATCCAGTCCAGTTTCACTCCAAAGGCTGTGCTCTTAACATCTTTTCTGGTGAAGACACATAGCAGACACTCAAAATAATGTCATGACACACGGCAAATTCACACACAAAAAAGTGTTGCTTAATGCCAGACCAAGGAAGGCAATATCGTTTTTAGAGCTTCCTTCCAAATTTGAAGCCACACAAATGGCAGCCAAAACAAATTCCTGTTAATTAACATGCTTGTTACATGACAGGTAGCCCCAGCCTTGGATCTGTCCAGGTTTACTCATTCATTGAAAAATTTTGATTTGATCAAGAATCTGTATTGTGCCAGGCACTGTTCTGAGGTTACAGCAGTGAACAATTCAGGCTAGCTTCCTGCTTTCATGGAGTTACACTGTAGTGGAAGGGGACTGAAAATTGACACAAAAATGAACAAGAAAAGCTTCTGAAAATAGCTCAGAAATGAACAGTTAGTGGTAAAGTCCTATGAAAAGAATAAAACAGGGATGGGACATGTCTTGGGGGCTGCTTAAATTGGCTGGTCAGGGAAAGTGATGTCTGTGCTGAGATTTGTATGGCAATAATGAATCAACCACGAGATAATGGGGGGAGAGAATATATCATGTGCTCTATTAGATGATGCAAAGTCTTAAAGCAGGAACCTTATTCGAGGAAGAGAGAGAGGAGGCTGGTGTGGCTGAAGGTGGAGAGGAGTTACAAAGATTCTGACGATTGCAGAGAAAGGCAGACCTTAGGTCGTGGTGGACTTTGTAGGCTAGGGTGAGTGTTACGATCCAACTTAAATTTTTATAAGGCCACTCGGTTCTGGGTGGAGAACAGATTGTAGGGGCATGACTGGGAACAAAAAGCTCATTTGAGGGCTTGTTAAGAAGCCCAACCAGGCTTCTAGTCTTGCTATAAAAGAGTACCTGATATTGTACTCATCCTCCTACCATAAACAGCTATAAACCCCGAACAAATACAACAACTCTTTTCAGACATTGGATGGCAACCAATGCAGAGAAACACACAAAGTGCATCTGACATTCACCCTAAGACCACTTTCCAAACCGGCACCTAGAAATCAAGCCCAAATAGAAATCAGTGATGGTCCCTCAGTGTATAGGAAATAACAGATGGAAACTTGAGGCTGCTGGAATGGCCAGAATTTGAGAGGTGCTGGAAAGGAACTCTCACACAGAAAAAGAGACTTCAAAATTTGAGTGATGATTCCTTACGTTCTTAGTTGCCCCCTTGTGATGGTTAATTTTACGTGTCAACTTGTCCAGGCCATAGCACCCAGATATTTGGTCAAATGCCAGTGTAGATATTGTTGAGGAGATTTTTTTAGATGAGGCTAACATCTAAATCAATAGACTTTGAGTAAAGCAGATTACCCTCCATAATGTGGGTGGGCCTCATCCAGTCAGTTGAAGGCCTTAAGAGAAAATAGACTAAGGTCCCTGAGGAAGAGGGAATTCTGCCTCCAGACTGCCTTGGGAATTGAAAAGCACCATCAATTCTTGCCTGGGTCTCCAGCCCGCTGGCCTGCTCTTAGATTTTGGACTTGCCAGTCCTACAGTTGTGTGAGTCTCTCAATCCCTCTCTCTCTCTCTCTCTCTCTCTCTCTCTTTCTCTCACACACACACACACACACACACACACACACACACACACTACTGGTTTTGTTTCTCTGGAGAGCCCTGACTAATACACCTCTTAAGCTGTCCATGCACAAGGTAGCAGATATGTAATAAGTCTAGAGAACCAGTCCAGCTGGAGCAGAAAGGAAGGAACTATTAAGGATTTTCCAGTTAAATAATGGAAATAAGGATTATTCAGATGGCCGAACCATATAGAAACTATAGGAAGTGGTAGGGAAATTAATCCATCAAGTTCAAAGAAAATGAAGCCAATGAAAAATTGAGGCAATTATGTCTAAATAAAAGAATGTAGCTTTCTGACTCAGCAGTGAACAATAGTTACAAAGTCATAAAATGAAAACACTAAATACGGATTTAACCATAACTGTAACACAAATATATGGGGGAGGTGGGAGGGTAAAGCGGTTATATGAAAGCTAAAACTATTATCTGCCATAGTAAGTCAAAAGATAATTAAAAGTGTTAAGAGGTAGCTATATACATCTATTATTTAAAGGAAACATACAAGTAGATATCAAAAGAAACAGCTAAAAGTGTTTAATTTAATATGCTGCAGAGCGAGATTGGTCTGTGTAGTGTATGTGGCAGTATTTTTCTTTTATAACCTTTTAGTTTCATGTGAACTTTTAAACGGTACAATTTCATTACTTTATTAAAACAAAAGACACAACAAAGCTACCATTTACCAAACCAGGAAGGACTTTGAAAGATACAGGCAGATATGACAAATGAGTCATGCTTTTTCCAATTTATTCAGAGGCTTGAAGGCGTCAGAGAAATACCCCCTTCCTCTAAGTGTTATATCACAAAATTTCAGAGGATTTACTGTCTATTCAATAGATAATAAAAGGATTTGAGGCCCATAATTTTAAGAAAAGTTGGGAAAATCTGCAAAGTCATAAAGCACATTTGCTTGCTATTTGGATATTTACCAAAAAACAAAGTGTGTTCACAAGAAGCCACATTTAAAGAGTTTTTAACTAGTTCAAATCACTAACTGCCGACAGAGTTAAATCCAACAGTCACAGGTGAAGTTTTCCAAACACAGGCAGGAAGACTAAATAATACTTGTAGGTTACACAGAGCTAGCTGTACATTAAGAATGACTGGGGAAGTTCTCAGATTACTTTAGATATGAAAAAGAAGATTAAAATCAAAATTCAACTTCACCTTTTAAAAAGAACCATGTACAAAGAACATAACATGATGGAGGAAATTGCCTATGGTTTATGTGACAATTACGTGAAGCCAAGTAGGCCTGGTGTGCATCTGACACTGATGCACCACCTGCCCTGGACTGCTATCTCAGCTAAGGCCGGGGGAATAACTATAAATTTTGCCAGCACTTACCACTACTATTTTCCTGATTCTTCTGTCTCCAACTTCACTGTCATTATTTTCTGCAGTAATATTCAATTACAGGACTTGATTTGAGGAGATTCTAGAAAATTTGAAGAAAGATTCCAAGATGCTGACAGTTTGGTAAATAATCCCTAAGAGAAAAACTAAAAGATCTTGATCAATGATGTCAGAAGTAAGATAAGAGAACATACACATTTTTTTCTTCAGTTTGTATCCAGATCAACAAAAGAACATAGGCATGTGATTTGTCAACATGTAACTAGAGGTCACTAATTTTTAATTAGTTAACTTTCGCTGCTTTGTCCTTCGACTCATTTCCCAGACTAGGTTCCCAATGGCTTCCTAATAAGTTAGTCCTAATGAAATCAAATAAATTCTAAAAGGAACTAGTCTTCTCTCTCCTAGGATTATCTCTAGGTCATGAAAGACAGTTGACAGAGCAAAATCATAGGTTACTTTCAAGATTTAATCTGTACCAACCAGCTCAAATATTATTAGCTTTCAGGTATTACATTTCCCTGAACAAATAGCACTCGCTTTCTCGCCATCTTAAAATTAAGCGATGCAGGCATGACTTTGAACTAGACAGGGGATTTCCACATTTTCACCATCTTCGCTTTTATAAAATTCCTCAGTTTTATCCAGCTGTACTTAAAAAATCCAGACTCTGACTCTAAGAAAGGAAAGAGTAGAGTATTATAGTTCAGTAGACATTTAAATTAAAATTTCACGTACTATAGGCACCGTTCATAAAACTACATATGAATTTTAGAACTTTAATTAGTTTATCATTTATCAAAAGAGTTGGAGAAGGAAGAAGAAACAATAAGGCTAGAGATACGGTGACTTGAATCAGGATCTTTGGAGAAATAAAAGTTGAAAGCATCCAGTATATGTTTTGGAAGTCAATGAATAATAACAGGTAGCAAGATGATGGCAAGAGAGATGGCGAGGATGATTCCTAAGTTTTTAGCTCAAGTGACTAGGGAGGTGGGGTGCCATTTACAGGGATGTGTAGACTAGGCTCAGATGTAAGGCTGGGACCATTTTAATTTTGTGGGCATTTTAATTTTAAGGTGTCTAGTAGACTTCCTAATGAAGATGGCAGGTAGGATGTTAGATACGTGACTTTGGAGTTTCTGGGCCAGGTCAGAGCCACTGGTACAGATTTGGGGTTCACGGATATATAGGCAGTATTTAAAGCCATAGGTCCCAGGGAAATTACCTAGGAACACAGTGTAAATATAAGAGGACTGGGACTGAGGACCTAACCCTCAGACATGTCACAGTTTAGAGGTTTTACAAAGAAGAGGCAAACGAAACCAAAAAGGCGTGAAGAGAGGAGTATGAACACCAAGAGTATGAATGATGTCACAGAAACTGAGAAAAGAAACTAACACTTCCTGCTGAAAGAAGGGGTAAAATGAGAAAAGAAAATGACCTCTCACTTTGGCTACGTGAAAGTCAGTAGGTCATTGGTGACCCTGACTAGAACCTTGACATGAGTTCATGGAATAGAGGACACAAAAGCCTGAACGGAAGGTAAGGAAGTGGAAATTGTGTCTAGAGTCAGATCTTTCAAGAAGTGTTGCTGGGAAAGGAGACCCAGAAATGGCATAGTGGTGAGAGGGAACTGTCAGGCCAAAAGATTTGCTTTGTTGATGCTGTTGTTTTTACTTTTTACTGTGGATATTTTCATACTTAACGTATGCAAAACCAGAGGATAAATATTACTTACGTGCCTTCATGAACTCATCACTCAACTTCAACAATTATCCATTTTATGCTTGTTTCATCTAATGCCCCATTTAAAATTTTTTAAAACATTAAGATATAATTTACATATACTAAAATCCACTCTTTTTGGTATACATTTCTATGAGTTTGCATAAACACATACAGCTAAATAAACACTACCAAAATCAAGATATAGAACAGTCCTACCACCCCTAAATTGTCCCTCATGCACCTACGCAATCACGCTTTCCTTTCACCCACAGACTCTGGCAACCACTGACTAGCCTGTTTCCTGCCACCATAGTCTTGCCTTTCCAGAATGCCATATAAAGGGAATCATACAGTATGCAGCCTGTATGATCTGCCTTCTTTCACTAAGCATAATGCATATAAGATTCATCCATGTTGCTGCATGTATTCATAGATTGTTCTTTTTTATTGCTGAGTAGTATTTCACTCTATGGATGTGCCACAGTTTGTTTTTCCTTTCAACAGTTGAAGAACACTTGGTTTGTTGCCAGTTTGGGGCTATTATGAATAAAACCTCTATAAATATTCATGTACAGGTTTTGGTGTGAACATGTTTTCATTTCTCTTGGTTAACAGGTAGAAGGATGCCTTGGTATTATGGTAAGTATATATTTAAATGTATAAGAACCTGCTTATTTTCCAAAGTGGCTTATCATTTGTAATCCCTCCAATAATAAATGAGAGTTCTGGTGCTTGGCAGCCTTGCCAGCTGTTGGTAACGTCATGTTTTTTTAAATTGAAGTACAGTGGATTTATTATATCATATTAGTTTCAGGTGTATAACATAGATATTCAAAAATTTTATAGATTATATTCCATTTTAAGTTATTTTAAAATATTGGCTATATTCCCTGTGCTTTGCAATATATCCTTGTAGCTTATTTATTTTATACATAGTAGTTTGTACCTCTTAATCCCCTACATCAATCTTGCCCCTCCCTTGTTCCTTCTTTCCACTGGTAACCACTAGTTTGTTCTCTATATCTGTGACTCTGTTTCTGTTTTGTTACATTCATTTATTTGTTTCCTTTTTTAGATTCCACATGTAAATGATAACATACAGTATTTGTCTTTGTCTGACTTATTTCACTAAACATAATACCCTCCAGGTCCTTTCACATTGTTGCAAATGGCAAGATTTTATCCTTTTTTATGTCTGAAGGTAATGTCATTTAAAAATTTTTTTACCCATTTTAATACATGTGCTTGCAGTGGTATCACATTGTGGTTTAATTTGCATTTCTCTAATAACTAATGAGGCTGAGCATCTTTTCAAGTGCTTTTTTTGCCATGTGTCTTCTTTGGTGAAGTATCTTTTACCCAACATTTATTTGACTGATTGTTTTCTTATTATCAAGTTCTGAGAGGATTTTTGTTTTGTTTTGTTTTGTTTTTACTGTATTCTGGAAACAAGTCCTTTGACAGATATGCATTTTGCAAATAATATCTCTTGACATGTGGCTTATTTTCCATTCTCTTAACAATGTCTTTTGTAGAGAAGAAGTTTCAACTTTGATAAAATCCAATTTGTCAATATTTTCTTTTATGAATCATGCTTTTTGTGTCATATCAAAAAATAGTTGCCAAACCCAAAGTCACAAAGATTTGTCTCTATGTTTTCTAGGACTATAGTTTTAGATCTTACATTTACATCTGTGATCTACTTCCAGTTAATTTTTGCATAAGGTGTATGGTATGGGTTAAGATTAATTTTTTTTCACATATAATGTTCAATTGTTCCAGCACCATCCATTTGTTGAAAAGATTATCCTTTCTCTATTAAATTGCCTTTGCACTTTTATCAAAAAAATTAACCATAGATGTGTGATCTCCCTATACTGTTCCATTGATCCATTCATCTATCCTTCCACCAATCTGATACTCTTTTAATTACTGCAGCTTTATACTAAGTTTTGAAATAAGGAAGTATGGATCCTCTTTGTTCTTTTAAAATTTTTTTTAGCAATTCTAGTTCCTCGGTCTTTCCATATAGATTTTAGAATCAACTTGTCAGTTTTTTTAAAAGCCTGCAGATTTTCATGGGGATTGAATTGAATCTTTAGCAGTCCTATGACCTGCAATTGAGAACTTTTCCTAAGTGATAAGGATGGTGATCCAATGAGCCAGAGCTTTTCTGTGACCCTTTGGAGACAAAACCATGTCCTGTATGCAGCCAGGTCACTAGAAGGCATAAAAGACTTGAGTTATTTAGTAGCCAAGTTCACATACAAAAAGCAATGCCCCCGGTGGAAAATCGTACTAAAGTTGCTTTCGTCTTATTATCCAGTGTTGCCCTGGATCACCATTCAGAAAAGGGAGCTATTTAAATCAGTTCTGGATTGGAACACAATGCTTACTGGGAGGAAACAAAGTAGATATATTGCCCTGAAAGAAGAGAAAAGAATGAAGACAACGGGAAAACCAGGAATCCAGGAATGTAGTAAATAGAAATTATAAGAGAACTTAAATAGGAAAACAAAAATGAATGAAAGAAAATAGACCAAACCATTGAAACCAAATCAGTTTGGTTTCAGACAAGGAGAAAGTGCAGTAAAGGAAGCAGGGAAAGAAAAAAATACAGACAATGTACTACACGGTTTTTATTGCTCTGCTTTATGTGAAGATTTTCTGCCAAAATATTAAACACATGCAATCATGATTTACATGCTGTGTATAAAACTAAATAAAATATACGCAACCTGCAAATAAATGGTCATTATATTTTACTTGTAATCAATAATGCCCCGTGATAGAGGCATCTGGAATACCGTATTTAGACACTTTTTTTAAAAAACAATCAATTTATTTTATTATTATTTTTTTGGCTGCGTTGGGTCTTCATTGCTGCGTGTGGGCTTTTCTCTGCTTGCGGTGAGCGGGGGCTACTCTTCGCTGCGGTGCGTGGGCTTCTCATTGCTGCGGCTTCTCTTGCTGCAGAGCACGGGCTCTAGGCATGTGGGCTTCAGTAGTTGTGGCATGCGGGCTTAGTTGCTCCGCGGCATATGGGATCTTCCCAGGCCAGGGATTGAACCCGTGTCCCCTGCACTGGCAGGTGGATTCTTAACCACTACACCACAAGGGAAGCCCTAGACTTTTTTTTTTTTTTTTTTGCGGTACGCGGGCCTCTCACTGTTGTGGCCTCTCCCACTGCGGAGCACAGGCTCCGGACGCGCAGGCTCAGCGGCCATGGCTCACAGGCCCAGCCGCTCCGCAGCATGTGGGATCTTCCTGGACCGGGACAAGAACCCGCGTCCCCTGCATCGGCAGGCGGACTCTCAACCACTGTGCCACCAGGGAAGCCCAGCCCAGACACTTTTTGAAAGCAAGAAACAACAAATGTTCTTTGACATATGTAGAACAGATATTAGTGTATTACTCATATAAGCGTGTGACTTTAACTTTCCACTTTATTTTATTTCTGGGGCATTTTCAAGTATTGTCCTTAATATACCTCTTACATGGTGGTAGGGAAATACAAGCTGTTTGAGAATCAATTGTAAGAAATTAGGGGGAGTGAGTTATATGGAGTGGTGCCTATTTTTAGCTTCCCAACCCTAAAACTACACATCTGATATTTAAAAATGAAAATCAAATACAATTCTCTTGGACGCCTGCCTCAGCTCCTGCCTCACATGTGATCATTTTGGCCACAGCGCTGCTCTCAGCATGTCTTTACATGACAGGTTTTTTCTCCCTGTTTTCAAGCATCACCTACTTCCCCACTCTCTCTGGACCCCTCCAGGCATATTGTGGTCCAGCCCTCATCTCACGGCCCTATAATTATGTTGTGGGCTGGAAGCAAGATGGAAAGGATGGTAACTGTAGACATGTCTGCCAGCAGATGAGTGAAAATGTGTCTTCACTTGTCTTTATGCACTGGGAATATCTCTGATGGAAAAGAAAAAAATACACACACACACACACACACACACACACACACACACACACACATATATATGACCTCTGTCATGCTGTCAGGGCAGCCAAACCCATTGTGATCTACTATGTAGATGTCAACTCCTCCATTTTCTAGTGCCTGGAGACAGACTTAAGCTCAGGAATCAAATGCAATCTAAAGTCAGCTCTCTGAAATCTAAGTGAAATGCACCTATTTTCCTCCTTTCTCCATTTATTAAGATTAGCTAGAAATTTTCATCTGTTTCTACTTATAGAACCTCATTCTGTATTTTATCATTTTGAAGTTTCGCCTAATCACCAGGCAATGGCCCAACATGATATTGCTGTAGCTTGAACAGTCACTTCTAGCAAGATGATTTGTCATCTTAATGACCCTGTGACCTTTAGGAATAAGGGATATATAAACACTCACTGTTTCCATCAGAAACAGTGTTCCCTTCCACCCTAAAAAGATATATATGTATCATGTTCACATATCGAGTATAAAGTAATAGAAACCCCATTCTAAACTTGGAAGAAACTGCTGTGCATTTGTGGTTATAATGTCTTAACTTATCCATTGAATCTACCCATAAAATTCTCTGTGACGGCAGTGGACTAACCAGTATGCTTTCTGAAAATACACTGGTATAATTTCTAGTAAATATGGTAGATTTAGCTGACATGGTCAGGCCAACTTCCTACTTAAAACACCTAGATGAAATAAAGCTGTATGAAATAAAGCAAAAATTATTTATTTAATGCGTAGTTGAGTTCAAACTAAAGAAAGTTTCCAGGGGCTGAAAAAGAAGCAGTCACCAAAACCTACAGTGATAAGAATTGTAGCCAACAGGCCCTGGCATGGACTTTTTGGGACTTGAGATTAATTTTTTTTTTTTTTTTTTGCGGTACGCGGGCCTCTCGCTGTTGTGGCCTCTCCCGTTGTGGAGCACAGGCTCCGGACGCACAGGCTCAGCGGCCATGGCTCACGGGCCCAGCCGCTCCGCGGCATGTGGGATCCTCCCGGACCGGGGCACGAACCCGTGTCCCTTGCATCAGCAGGCGGACTCTCAACCACTGCACCACCAGGGAAGCCCGAGACTAATATTTTAATGCCTTTACGGGAACAGAAGAGTCAAGGCCTTAGACTATTGAGAGGCAAGGTGGAGGAATAGAACACCATTTTTCTCCAAGTCATCTGTGAAGTAGGACCCTGGCCAGCTCCACTCACAAACATGAAGAAGCATCTCCTATGTGTTAGGTAAAGAGAATCACCTGTGATCATTCAGAGACCTAGGCCACTGGCTGTGGTATCTCAATGTGCAATACCAGCGTGGTATAGGAATTGACAAAAACTGGTCCAAGACAGACGAGAATCCTAGGGTCTCTGCAGAGGAAGACATAAAGACAACCCAGCTCCAATGAAGCTGCTCAGAAAAGAACTTGGAGCAGTGAAGTTCACGGTGAAATATTACACTCACAGAAGGAAAGAAACTGCCATGAGGGAGAGCCAGGGCATGAAGAACCAGGAACCTAAGGTCACAGAACAATCCAAAAAGGCTTATAAAACAAGTATGATTAAACTATTTAAATAGAGTTTAAGGGTGACATAGAAAGCAACTGGCTAAGACTTTTACTTGTGATGAACTAAGATGGGACGGATACAGGTGGAAGGGGATACAGTAGCTGGTGCAATATCTCAG